TTCCTGTCCAGAGTGCGGGAAATGTTTTTCACAGAAGTCCAATCTTTACACACATCAGAGATCTCATACGGGGGAGAAGCCATATTCTTGTACAGAGTGCAGGAAATCTTTTATAGACATGTCTAGTCTTCACAAACATCAGAGATGTCACACAGGGGAGAAGTTGTATTCCTGTTCTGAGTGCGGGAAGTGTTTTTCATACAAGACCAATCTTCACACACATCAGAGATCTCACACGGGGGAGAAGCCGTATTCCTGTCCTGAGTGTGGAAAATGTTTTTCACAGAAGTCCCATCTTTCCAAACATCAGAGGTCTCACACGGGGGAGAAGCCACTTTCCTGTCCTGAGTGAGGGAAATGTTCCTCACTGAAGTCCTGTCTTCCTGTACATCAGGGGTCCCACACAACGCTGGAGGTGTATTAGTGCCTTGAGTGCGGGAAATGTCTTCTAGATGAATGTTGCTGGACATCCCAGCTCTCATGTGGGGAAGAAGCACACCCTGATATACACCTCAGATATACTCCATGGCTGATCTTCATCATGGAAGAAACAGTTGATAAGGAGATGAGAGGCCCCCAAAGAAATGGATGAAGTGCAGTAAATGTCGGGGTGCAGAGTGGTCAGTAGATCCTGGAAATGAAGGACACAACTTCAGCCCTTCTTGGGTGTCGGAGTTGCGTTTCCTGATAATGATATAGCGGGTTACAGAGCTAGAAGCCGGGAGAGCCCAGATCTCGTTATCGGGGAACTTTACACAGACAACAAGAACTTCTGAAGTTGATGTCCTTCATTTCAAGGCTCTACAGAACAGTGGTGACCCCGAAGCGTCTCTCTGTCTTCAGTCCATCCTTCTCCCATCCCCCAACAGGAGGGAAGGAGAACTCCGCCCCAAACTAGGGGGGAACTTTCCTCTCATTATTTCCCTTTGCTTCTGTGTGGGTTTGGGTGGTTGGAGGAGTGCGGCACGAGAGGGAACACAGCTTGTTGTTCTATGTCTACATATGGGGTCTGGGTAGAGGGGATCCACTGAAAAATATTTCTTATCTTTGATTTTGTGCACATCGTTTCTGTTTTCACTTTGAAGGGCGATATTATGTGTGGTTTGTAAAAGGGATTGGCCCAATAGATACCACCCCACTTAGAGAATAGATGAACTAATATGACCAGCATTCATTCAGCCATGTCACATGTTGGGATCTTTTCTACAATACTTTGTTATAATAATGGAACACGTTGTGTATTGTATTGTACACCAATAATAATGACTCCGCCCCCACATTCCAGACAAGGGATCTTCCTGACCAATCAGATTCCTTCTTTTACCATTTACTGATTTTTTTTCTGCAATCTTGTTAAAAGTGAAATTATAATAAAAAATGTATTGAAAGAAAAAAAATGTGTGTGTGTGCAATGATGACAAAGCTGTGTATCCAGAAACGGCTGGTCGGTGACACTTCCATATACAGCCCAATGAAGTGACAAGGAAGCCCTAGAACCCTTTGGAGGAACCCTGGCTGAGAAAGGCTGGACTAGGCAGTCACATATCTCTGAAAAATTTCCAAAAATGATGCTTTATCGCACATTAATGATTGACAATAGGGCAATCGCCCTGGTTTACCATCATCACCTCAGTATGAGACAATACACACAGACCTAAAACCATTAAAATCACACCAAGACCGGTCTGGATATATATGTGCTGCAAAGAATTGGATAATCACAATGATGTGATCAGAAAAGTCGATCTAAATATTAGGTCGACTAAAATGCCAAAAATACGTTCCAACATGAGGATATCGGCATTTCTAGATTTAGTTGCAGATGATCTTAAAAACCTTGAGTGGAGAATGCCAATTGGTGACAATCTTACAAAAAAGGAAAGAAAAGCCCTTAAAGAATTAAAAGAGACCAAAAATATAGTAATTAAGAGAAGTGATAAGAGGGGTAATGTAGTCATTTTAAATGAACAAAACTATGTCAAAGAGGTGAAGCGCCTATTGGGGGATTCATCTACGTATAGAAAATTAACTACTAATCCTTTCCCTGTAGTGGTGGTGAAAAAATTAAACTCTATGTTAACATTGGGCAAAGAGCCGGGTCTTCTTACCAAAAAGGAGTTTGAATATCTAAGAATTGAGGAATTTAATCATCCTACCTTTTATATCATCCCTAAAATACATAAGAATCAAGAAAATCCTCCGGGTAGACCTATTGTTTCCGCCATTAATGGTTCCTTAGATAAAACAGGGAAATACATTGATTTGTTCCTCAAAGATATGGTCCCTAATCTATGTTATGTAAGAGATACCAAAGATGTTTTGGCTAAAATTGAAAATTTAATAATAAATGAAAACTCTATTCTAGTTGGAATAGATGTAGAATCACTTTACACATCAATCCCACATGAATGTGGTTTGAGATCGACTTTCTACTTTCTTGATAAAAACATACCCCACTCTGGGGGGACAAAACAAATTTATTAGTGAGTTACTGGATTTTGCATTACGACATAATTTTTTCCAATTTAACAATACTTTTTATCAACAGATTAGAGGTACAAGTATGGGGGCACCATGGGCCCCGGCCTATGCCTGTCTGCATTTAGGTTTTTGGGAGGAGCAGGTTGTCTTCAGGTCAGCAGGGTTTCTTGCACATGCCCAGATTTGATTGAGATATATTGATGATATCTTCCTTATATGGAGAGGAACATCGGAGGAATTAAAACTTTTCATGGAGGAGTTAAATCAAAACTCCCTCAATATTGGACTTACATATGTGTTTGATGAAAGATGTATCTCCTTTCTTGACCTGGAAATTAGACTTGAAGACAAAAGGCTCCTTACTAAAACGTTCAGAAAACCAACTGCAGCCAATATCTTATTAGAGGCCAGAAGTTATCATCCACGTTCACTGATCACAGGAATTCCGGTAGGACAGTTCCTGAGATGTCGGAGAAACTGCTCGATCATTAATGACTTTAGGATGGAAGCGCAGGACCTTTATAAAAGGTTTAGAGAACGGGGATATTCTCACTTTCAGATTAGAAAAGCTCGGAGACGGGCATATCAAACTGACCGTAAGAGTCTATTGTCCCCAAAAAAGGAAGAGAAGGTTAAACTAAGTGAGCAACCTGTTAGAATGATAACTCAATTTGGAGCTCAATGGCAGGCTGTGAAACAAATATTAGAAAAGCATTGGAAGATTCTAACCCAATGCCCCAAACTGAGTAAAATTGTAGGTGAGCGCCTCCAAATGGTAGCAAGAAGAGCACCAAATCTTGGTGAACTCCTTATTCATTCCGACTATCAACCGTTAAAACAAACAACATGGTTGAAGTCACGTACAAAAGGGATGTATAGATGTGGAAAATGTCAGATCTGTAAATTTGTGGATCGCACAGATTTTTTCTGTGATTCAAAAAATAGTACTCACTATAAAATTCAAAGTCTTATAAACTGTTGAGATGTTGAAAGTTTATTAGACATTACTAAGATTATATAGGATACAGAAATAATAAGGGGGGGGGAGTGAGTTCTAAAACTGTAACTTGTAAGTTTCCATCATGAGCTGACTACATGAAACATGACATATACATTTCTTGGTATAAACTGTTTTTGCTAGCTTTCTGAGAAATAGCCGGGCAAAGAAAACTTCAGGGTCATGTTATCTTTTGTTGATACATTCTTCAGCAAACTAAAACAGTTCCATTAAACTTCTAATATATCTGCAAAAACCTAACTTATTACTTAAAATGGCGTACATCAAACAATGGAGGTTTCTAGATCCTTTCAATCCCCTCTTAGATCATGAACATGATCTCAATTCTTTACCTCATTCATCTTTTTGTACATAGCCAGATAACCTTCATTTGTATTTTGCGGCTTGGTAGCTCTAGCAATACAATATAATAGCATTTAAAAACATAGATATAAAAATAAAACAAAAAACAATATCATGACTATGCTTACAGTGATACCTTTCATCCATGAAAAGACGGAACCAAATCCTGATCCTAACCAATCAAAAGGAGTCCATCCATCTTTTCCTATAGCTCTAGCTTCTTCCATTAAACCATCTACCTGTTCCCTGTGTTGCTTTATTATTTCATAATAATCTGGAACAGTCATTGTGGTATTATATATCCAAGTACAACATTCAGAATCCTCTGTCATCTCACACAGACCTGTCAGAGCAGCACTCATGCTTTCAATAGCTAATTCTTGCATCTCCAGCTGTTCTCTAATAGCTCTGGTCTCGGTATTTAGCAACCCCATGTCCTTAGAGTTCCTCTCCAGTATATCATCAATAATGTTTGTGTAATTATTTATTTTGTTCATGAGTGTTATTCCCCATCCCGTGTAGGTAGGGAACCATGACCAAACCTTATCGCCTGTAGAGAATAGATCTACCTTTTCTTGTTTGGTTTCCCTTCTCTGTCTCAGAGTTAGTTGGTGTGTTTTGGGTATGTACTGGCTTTTACCTGATGTTCCTTCTGGTCTATAGCTGCCATGATTGGCACTAATTGGGCTACATAGCACCAGCCCTGGACATTACTCGGTATCCAAGGGTAACAGATCTTACCACAACAGATATAGGTATTGTTTCCCAAGGAAATCGGCAATTTTTGTATTGCAGAGTGAAATTCAGGGGTGACAACAAGTGTGAAATAAAAAGGTTTTCCAAACATAGTTTCCCCCACATTATCTTGTATCCCTTCTAAACTTTCATTCAGGGCTCTACCATTTACTTGCCAGAGTTTCACAGAAGAAGTTCCATCCCTCCTTCCAGGATCAGATATATTTAATATGGACTGAGAGCACATTCCCCTTCCCTTGTGGGAAGTATTCCCCAGTCTAAAACACCAATCGGGAAGTTGAGTGACTCCCAGAGTTGGAAAAGATATGGTGGCATTAGAAGTAATATTGGTCAAACCAATACTTACATTCCCTGTTATTAACAAAAATATTTTGACTGGAGCGGCCAGAAGAGGAATTTCCTTTCAAAACTTCTTTTTGACTTTCTTTCACTTTTGGTTATCTGGGTCTCATTTTAAATCTAGTCCTTGACCACAGATACCTTTTATTAGGCCCAAGTCCTCAGGGTGATAAATACAGTTTAGTTAGGATCCATACTGGCAGGAAAAAGAGCAGTCAGTGTGCCCAATAGGACCCCAGATCTTCAAAGCACCATGAGGGGGCAGTAAGGAATGTCATTGTCAGGAATGGACTTGCCAATAGTGGTGGGGACTCACCTGCCTTGTGGGCTGCAGTACCAGGGCTGGCCAGCGGGTGTGCTCTCAACAACCAGAGGTTCACTTTGGCAATTAGCCATCACCTGGGGCTGATTGCAGGTGGCATATTTAAGGGATGGCCAGACCTGCAGTCTGTGCCTTGGTGTGTGTTTTTCCATGGGCCCCTGTATCTTGTTACCTGCATTCCTGTTCCTGATTCTGCCTGACTTGTTGCCAACCCTGTCTGATCCTGACCTCTGCTGA